TTTTTACAATGGCAACATCACCAATTTGGAAATAATAAAATCATCTGAAAACATGAATCCGCTGAAAAATACCCCATGCTATCCAGACCAAGAACTTGAGGGGTACAATTTGGGGAACTTAAAGAAAACGATTCCTTGGTACAATCTCAGCAGAAATGTCTTCTGGGTAAATTTCAGGTAGACAGAGTCCTTTTAATTTTCCCATCCTGCATAGGAGCTGGAATGAAAAATACTTTTATGGTTTCCTTACCCCATTCTTAATGTTGGTCTCCCATCGTAGCGACATGGTTTTTAAGTCAAACAGTTTAATGTCCCCATTGTCATATCCAGCACATACAACACGTTCCTCTTGATTGTAAGCATTGCCTGGAGACAGAGAAAGAATTCATCAGAATACAGAAACCCTCCTTAGTCTGTAAATTTCAGACCTCCTAAGCCTGCAATTTCAACTTACATTTATGCCAGAAAAATATTACTATGGGGATATTAAGATTTAATGAACAGTCTGGTTTTCAAACCTGAAAGGTACAGAAAATATAGCTTCAAAACTGGCAGTCTGTTTCTTTTAAAAAGATGAACAAAATTCTTATTCCCCCTGCCAAGTACTGCCTAAACTGCACAGGCTAAGTACTGCAGACTTTCTTGTAAACCTATACAAATACATTCCTTCTCTAAATCTTCACATGCTATAAACCACGCTCCCCAGACAGCACCAGGGCAGAAAGCAGTTCCTTAACCAGCCTCTCAAGCATGAAATGTTAGTGGGACAAGGAGATTTTTCTGCAGACGCAGACCTATAGGGAGGCCCTGCGCGTTATCATGGCCATCGCTAGACAGATGCAGAAGCCTGCCTCCAAAAACTCTCAGCTGACAGGATCGAGGAAGCACATCAGTGTCTGAAAGAAGTTAGCCCAGAGCACGTAGTTCAAGATGAACCTGGCCTTGGCTCAAGTGCCAGTAATTCAAAAGAAAATCGAAGAAAATATGAGGCCGCTTTTTTCTCCATTCTTCAGAGCAGAAGGCAAAGATATCAATAGCAATGAGCATTACAGTTGCACCTACTTGCCAGAAACTGTCCTCTCCTTACTATCGATTTTGTTACTATAATCCATGCACTTATTAGCAGTTTGTAAAACTCACTCCCCGACTCTGGAGGCAAAAATGGAGCTAATCCAGAAATACCAGCTTGCGTAGAACACAAGCAGCTTGTTCTCTCTTGAAAAATGCAGAACACACACCAAGCATCTCTGGTTGCCTTTAATTAGCATTTAGCTTCAAGGATCTTCTCTTAAGTTAATGCCTTAATGCTTGATAGTTAGACCTATGCAAACAACAGCGACTGGTTCCTTGTGCACTGCAACATTTACACTCCTTCAGGACAACGCAGTTGGATATACTGTTTTTACATTCCTAGGCATAGGAATACAGCTTGCACAACTGATCTGTGCAATGATTGACCAAAGGTGATAAGAGAACGAGTCCAAACCCCAGCCATCACATTTTCTTTGGAAAAAACGCAGAAATTTGACAACGCTGAAAAGCAAAACCTGCTACTGATTGGTCCACACAAAATAAACTATTCCATAACATCCTGAAATACTTTGGTAACTGTCAAAGCACAGTCATATTAGAGGGAGCAACGTTTATAATCTGAGAAATTACCAAATGCTACTGTCCAGCAGTCTCTTTTGCTCTCCCCCTGTACAGGTTCCATATTAGCCACAGGAGTATCTTTCTGCCTCGGGTCCCAGACCTTCACGGTTCCTGCAAAAGAAGGACAACGGATTTTGTATTATGGATACACTGTCACGTTGCGTTCATCTTCCCAGGGAAGGCCTTTGCTTTTCAGCCTCATCATTCAAAACACAGGAGCATCTCTTTCAATTCCAGAAAGCCAGACTGCATTTAGCAGATAGAAAAAAGTAAAACACAAATAAAGCGAGAGTATTTGTTAAGGATATATTTTCTCTAGCTGATATTTTGCATTTGTTCTGTTTTGTATTCCTTCTGTCCCACGCTCGGGGACAACAGTGTAGTTTGCTTATCTACAGCTTCTAAAAGAATTAGAGAAAATTCAAAGATTCAAGAGACAGTGTACGAAGAACTAGTTGCAACAGATTTGTAACTAGTTCAGATGGCAGGCTGCGCCCGGCCACTAAAGCTTGCAGACTACTTTCTCAGAATAACTGAAAAGACTTTCAGAGTTCACTAACTCACCATCTCGACTGCCAGTCACAATTTCTGGTGCACCTTCCCCAATTCCTAAGCCACCTACACCATCTATACTGTTTATGATTTCCTTATGACCTTTCACAGAATACACTGGTATTTCAGGAGCTTCTAAATTCCTAGGCAAGAAAGAAAAGAACAGATAATGCGGCATTTTCCTTGACACTCAGGATTTGTATAAAAATGAGAGGAAACTTGAGCACAAATTATATAAGCTCAGATTAACAGTAGGAACAAAATATGGCTATCACCGTTAAGAACCACGAGTCTTTGCTTGATTCCTTCTTTGGCTACTGCTTTAGACCGGTCTGAAAGTTTTTGCTCCGTTCTGGACTGTCCTGTTCGTAAAGGCGGTTGTGGGATTCACCACAGCAACCCTTAAGAACCAGTTTTTATGTTGGGCTCAAAATGCATCGCACTACAGCTCAAAATACTCCAATTAGCTTTGCTTTCAGTGAGTGCATAAAACGACCTTATTCGCTCATCCCCACCTAGCTCTGCCTGCTGCTCTTCAGCTTCAAATGAAAGCTGCATCCAACTGCGGGTTCTTTCCCGCTGATTCTTATCCTTCGAGAATCCTTGAGAATTTTATTTTCGATTTCAAACAGTGACTAATCCATGTCATTCTTGCTGTTCCACCAAAATAGAACCCATAGATCCTTGGCAAGGGAAATATAATAACAACAACAACAACAACTATAATAACAACAATAACAATAATAATAACTATAATAATAATAAACAACAACCCCCTTTTTACCCTATAACTTTATTTGATAATCAATTTATCTACACAAATTAATTCTACAAATCATTCAGGGACCTGAAAAAACATTTGAACCGTCAAGATTAAAAACATGTATTTAATCTAGACATCAAATTTGGGTTGAACACCACCTCTTATTTGTACTCATGCATCCATTCAAAAGCCTCTTTTCAGGAGAGGGCCTAGCAGAACTTGAACAGGTTTTTGTAGCTGCGCACAGAAGACGCAAGCGAAACAGCACTGAATTAAACCGTTCTGCAGGATTTACGCGGTTTGTACAGAACCGGCGGTGTTCCATCCAATGCAGCAGCCAGCAAAGCTCAGGAGCGGGTCGCAGCCACACGCAGCACAGAGAGCGTTTTATACGAAAGCCAGCCACGCACAGAAACATTAGTTCAAACAGACACATACAACATCAAAGGAAAAGGCTTCCAAAGAATAGCCGTGCTTACCATATGTTAAGGTTTCCACCGAAATCTCCTGTAGCCAAGTATCTTTGCTGCAGAGATGTCGCACCAAAAGTTCCACATTTTATAGGTTTAGCCTTTTCAATCTTTTAAAAAAGGATACGTTCTGTGTCAGCACATGGACAAAAGCAACACAACCACAGACTGCGGCGGCAGTTTCTTCAGAGTCCACGGGTGGCAGACTGCAGTGAAACGTACGTAGGATATTTGGCGTAAAATACAATCAAAACGCTACCAAAGGCAAATCGCATTTTGTGTTGATTGCTTTGTGCACAGAAAAGCAGAGACGTAACGGTCTTAAAAACCCTCTCACCTCAGCTTGCTAACGCTACTCGAGAGGCTGCTGTCTCTACCCATCTGCAGACACAAGGCGGAGGGAGCCCCGCTCTCCCCGGGGAGGGGGAACCGAGCCGGTTTGCAGCTCCCGGCAGCAGCGCCTCCCCGCCACAACAAGCCAACAAGTCCCGTTGGCTTGTACACCTGCGGCGCGGTTACCCCTGAAAATCAGCAGATCCTCGGAGGTCAGTTGGGGTTAAAAAGAAGAAAACAAAGCCCCCAGAACCAACCGCAACCGGAGCCCAGCGCCTCCGCCTTTCCCTGTAACGCAAACCATGGCAACAGACCAACGAAGGCTAGCGTGAGCAAACGGAGCGGCAGCAGTTGGGGGGGAGCGACTTTAACGCGCAAGCCAGGCCCGATACCGTGGGCTTCTGCTAGTTCCACCCCCACCCAGTCCCGCTGGCTCCGGAGAAGCGCCCGGGTCTCCCTTTTCCTCGGGCTGCGGCCCCATCGCCAGGGCAGGGCCTGGCCGGGGACCGGCAGGCTTGGGCCGAGGCGCCCCCCGCCCGCGCGGCGCTCACCTCCCGCAGCAGGGCGAGGCGGCCGCCGCGCAGCTCCGAGAGCCGCAGGGCGCCCGGGGCGCGGGGCG